CTTCCTAGTACCTGAGGAAAGGGACAGCTACTTTTTGTACCCAGGATATCTTCAGGCTTTTTCACCCTTAGAAACACACTTTAAAATTCTGATCTTATTTGACAAAGACCACGGAGCAAGTCTTCACTAAAATAAAACTCACCTACTTCCCAATCTTACCATTTCTCCTGAGAAGGATTTTAGCTGAGACTAGCTCAAGCTAGCAGTTAGCTGAAAAGAAAAACTTCTGAAATAATTTGAAAAACTGTGAGCTTAGGCATGTTCATCACTCTTTGTCAAAAATGCCATGGTCATCATGATTTTGCATTTCTAAAATTACATGCACCACTGGTGAGAGAAAAAAGAAACTTCATATTCTTTGACTTTTTAAATGAGACTGTAAAGTCATTAAAATTATTTTGCATATTGTAATAGGATCTAGAGAGAGCAACTGCTATGAAAAGTCTAAAACCACTGGCTAAGATATGATCTGGTATAATTTTAATTATGTAGAACAAATCAAAGACAATATCTAACCATCATGTTTAATTTTTATCCAATCTCACCGACAATATTCGATCAGTAAATAGAATCCCATACATTGTGTTAGCATCAACTAAGAATTGCTGGCAAAAGATGGTTCCAGAGCTGCTGACAGTGCACACTCCTGAATATGACCAGGCCTTATACACATGTCCTAAGTGCAAGGAGCTTTTCTCTAATAAATGCAGCACAGATACAGATGTGCTGCAGAATCAAAATCAACACTTCCCAGTAATTTTCTAATTTGTTTTTGAAATATGTTCCATATACATCAATGTAGTGAAAGAGGATGAGTCACTTTCAATGACTAAGAATTTGCTAACTCCTGGAGCATTAAATTCCTTTGATCTTGATAAGCTGCCTCGTTCTCATTCTGTTCATTAGCCCCCCCCTCCTTTTCCCAGTTTTGAGCCAGCCAATCTGTAGTCCTTTCTGCAAGCTGACATATTTACCAAGTAAAATCTGTTACCACTGCTTTCCTGCTCTTACTAAAAAACACCCTGTTGCTTGTCAAGCTCCTCATCTTGGGGAACCTCCTTTTCTCTTTTCCTTCACACATGACATAGTCCACAACCCCTCTTCCCACCCTGATAAGCTCTTTATTAGCTCCTCTCTATATTTCCCCAATAACCCCAAAATGTTCTCCTGTGCATTCTGTTAATCTCTTTTTTTTTCATTCCCATCTAATGCAATTTTATCATTAGTTCCCAAGTACCATTTTGCTGATGACACACAAAAATTGCCTAAGAATCTCAGAAAATAATCCAGTTGTGTTGCTTTGACCCACGTCTTGATAAGTACCTTTCCTTAAGGGTTAACCTGGGAATGTCAATACCTACATGAGTTGAAAAATAGAAATGTCTTAAATTATAAGCATAAATTATCATTAATTTTCCAGATAATTATTTGGCAACTGTAACAGGGCTATTTTCTCATCTGTTCTGTTTGAAAAATTAGTGTATGTGGAGCCTGCCACAAACAGGTATCCACATTTAGACAGCAATTCAATTTCAATACTGATTAGTGAAAAGCATCTTGATATTTTCACTCTACTCCTTTGATGGAAATATACTTTACAGCTCCAAAAAATCCTTTAGTGCTTGATTCTTTACCAATCAAAAAAATCACAGTTGTCATAGAAACTGTAAAAACTGAAGTCAGTCATGACATAACAACAGAGCAAGGGAAAATGTCTGCAGCTCAGGTTTTTGTGCTGGAGATATTTCTATGAATTTAACCAGGGAGTTAACAAATTTCCCAAATCTAACAAAGAATATTATAACAATAGGTATTATCACTGTTTTTAATAATCTGTTCAGAGTCTAGAAAGTAATAGCATTTATCATACCTGCTCTACACACTGGCTACATTAACAGCAAACAGACTCTTCTCAAAACACTCAGTGCAAGCTTATGCTGTAAGGCAACTGAAGTTCTCTGATTACACATCTTAGATAGCCTGGAGGGGCTTTTGGTCAATGTTCTCAGCATTCCTGCAATCCCATTTTTGGTATTTTTAAGCTGACACAAACCACTTTAAAAATCTATGTTGCCATTAGTTCCTGTCTCTTACAAATGCTGCTCAGAAAAAGACTTCTATCTGCAGACCTCTGCCCCACACAAGATAGTTCAGCTCCATTCCAAACATTATCTCAGGCTTTTTCCCTATGACATGAAACCCTGTAAAATGTAACTCTACTCCTGACTAAGCCAGGCTACAAGAGTCTTCCACTCTCCATAACCAAAAGCTAAATCATAGACTCCTGCCTTTTACTGGAACCACTCGACACTTCATAATTACTAACTGACAGGGCTGCCTTACTGCAAACACTTGCCCTTCAAGCACAGATCACCCTGCTGAAAAGAAAATAGTCATAATACATAGGACTATTACTGGACTGGCCTCACTGCAGGTGAGCAAACTGATTAGCTGAACTACAAGTAACACAAAAAGCAGCAATGTGGAAGTACTCAGATCTTAAAATAACCATCTCAGAAGCACTGAATTAAGTTTTATGGAGAAATTTAAGAGTTCTTTTTGTTTCAGCTGGTTTCCTTTGACATATTCCCCCTCTGAACCTTTAATTTATTCTTTCAAGATAACTGGGTACACAAATTTTGAATAAAGAGCAAACAGGTACTTGGCTTCCCTATGCTTTCCTAGAACTGCCTTAAATAAACTGTTTTATCATGACAGCATCTAGGAATTTCCAGACCTGCTAAACAACTTCAGATGCTCACACCACACCCCTATTCCCACCCTACTTAAGGATTACATTTAATGGTAGGGTGAGCATACTTGGTGTGCAACATGCTTCAGCAGCCTACTGAAGTTTAACTGACATATACACAGAAACTTTCCAGCTGCACCTAAAATAAAGATTGAGACAGCAAAACTTGCCTGTTAATTTCCCTAACCATGAGTTTAGGAATTAAAACCAAAGTAAAGTCCTGATTCCGGTAAAACAACCAGTAAACAACCCATAAGTGAAATAATAAACTTTTTTTACAAGGAACAAAGGAAAAAAAACCACAATTCAAATCTCCTTAAAAAGGACAGCATGACTTATTTGTTTACTGTATTATACTGCAGGATTCTTAGTAGAAGAGTACCTGATTCACACAAGTTCATAAACCTCAGTGGGAGAGAGACAGATATATTTCTTCTGTTACCATAGTTGGGACCCTAGACAAAAATATGTATAAAACCCTGTAGCTTCTCACTCTTCAGTTCTATGGCACTCTGTCACAGACTTCATATTTAAAATATCACTCAAGGCTTCTGTATGTCACTAGCATAATTACTGCACATCTGCATACATGTGTACACAAGCACATGTACACATGTGTAATTTGAAAAAGCACATGCACATATATAGTTATGCTTTTCTCCCATTATAAATATATGCACATATGTACACATGCATGCAGACTTCTATCTTTAATTCTGAAAAAGGCACATTCATTTCCATAGACGCCACTGAGGAAAAGAAAATCAAGATAAGGCTGCTATAATCATTTAATTGATTTGGATATATGCAACATTTATTTTTGTATAGGAAAGGCTGCCACCAGAAAATAAATAAAAGTATAATTGTATAAATTTGAGTATTAATTAGCAACAACAGCCTTAATCTACATGCAGCTTATAAAATACTGTTACAATATTCTACTATCATAAAAGACTTACTCTGTACTGACATGGTTTACTGGACCTCATGACATCATAGAAGATTTTTTAGACTGCTGTTGTGCATCTCAGCAGTCCCTTAGAGAAGAAATGAATCTGCATATGTATTGATAAATAAGAATGAGAAGAATTTATATGACTATTTCTATATTTTTTTGAACAGCAAAATGGCTTTGGGCACACAGTACGAGACCAGACTTCATGGAGTATGTGCACAGAATAAACACATTACTTCATGAGGTGGGCTAGGGGGTAAGAATTTTACACCGAACTCAGATGAGGCTAGAGCAAACATCTTACATATTCTAAAAGCCTGCTGTTTTGTGTATAGCATATAGTAGTGAGAAGAGAGTTGTCTGAAATAGCAAGGTGTATTTTCTTGTTTTGCTCCATAATCAAACATTATACAACCCAATCCTACAACTTTCTCACAGAAAAAAAAAAATCTTTATTTGCAAATATTCTTACTGGTTTCCATTTCATATCTAGAGATTTCTGACTGTCAGTAAATTTGGCATTTGGGTTTTACAGAAGCTGATGACTAATAGAAAATAACCACAACAGAGGACAAGGATCTGAAAACCACTACTATCAGAATCTGGTTGCAATGATTTGTGTTCTAATAGAACATGAGAAATTCCAGAGCCTCTGAAAAATCTCAAGTAAGTAGCAATGTGTTACAGCACTCGTTCCAATAAACCCATTCTTCCTATATAAAACTGTACTGTAACTACGCTATAAACACCCTGTCAGGCAGAACTACAATTTTGTTCCTCTGTTTACCCCTGTAATGAGTGAAAGAAAATGACTGAAAGCTGTATGGCTGCATTGGCTTAGGTGGCAGGATGACTGATCAGATTCTATCACAGACTGTGTGCACTACTCTCAACTCTGAACACACAACGCCAAGCAGAGGCACTGGCCTCCAGATTAGCTACTGCCAATATTCCCCCTTCTCCCAAATCATCACCCACAATGGAAGACATTCTTCTATATACTTAAAACATATCATACTAACTAGATGTGAATGACAGAGCACAAACATGGAATTTCCTCTGAAACTCACTCTGATTTAAAAATATTCACAGAAACAATTACCAGAGGAAATAGTTATTTTTTTTTAAAAAAATAAGTACTTCCTCACAGTGCCAGCATTTGAATGTAATAAAACAGATAAAATACTCCAAAAAATGCAGAAAGCTTTCACTGTATTTCTAACAAGTAAAATGAACCTTTCTCAGCTTGTATAAGACACAATATCATGCCTTACACACCCCTTTAGTACTCACGAGTAAAATGATTAGGAGCAGATGGATGGACATTACTTCCACTGTCAGCACTTTCACTGCTAGAAACATCATCATCTGATTCCCACACACATGAGCAGGGTGAGGTTCCACCAACTTCTTCAAACTTCCTCTTTAAAATTCCACTCATTGCTGCGATGCTGTCACCATGCACCTGTAACAGGAACAGAGGCAATGAGGCACTGAAGCACGCACCTACTGTGAATGTCTCCCAATGAATTTATCATTAAAGAGTTCACCTATCAGTCAGATACTACTACCTGCAGCTAAATGGCTCCTTAACTAAGAGTTTCAAACAAATCTTCCAAGAAGGAATCAATAAAACCACAAACTGTCATCAGTATATTTATGAGCTCACTGACTTTAAGCCAGAAGGTAAATGCTACCTGTATTTACACCAATGCAGACAATTCTATAGCCAATCTCATACATAAATACATATATTCAGTTATGCAGCAAATTTAGGTCAAGCATAATACTCCAATGTAATTAATCAAAAATGGACCTTTATATAACAAAAACTTACTTGGCATCAAGAAACATTACATGACAAAAATTGCTTTGTAATAAGTATAGTTCAGAAAAAACTTCATTCTCTCTTTTGATTTATTTTAAAGGTCTGATTTATATAATTCTCAGTACTAACAAATGCCTGCAACTGCAATTAGATTTGAGAGCTGTATGAGACACTTTGCATCTTTCCAGGCCAGGCCCTGTGTAAACAGTTCTGGCTCATTTTGTCATTTTCATTTCCTCAGAAGTTTCTTGCCTAGAATTTTTGAAATTCAGATATGAATACTGGCACACAAGTGGATTATTTCCATTCACACAAGCATCAAAGGACTAGATCCATCCTTAAGAACCTGACTTCCTAATCACATTGCTCAACAAAGCCAGAGTCATGTTGAACATTCCTTATTGTTTCCCTTTCATATATAACAGCTGATCTTTGTATCTTCATTTATTGAACACCATGCAGGAAAAGATCTAAATATTTTTAAAGCAATTTTTAGATAATTTTAACACATCTGATAGGTTGAAACACTTTTTCAGTATCTTTAATTTAAAAATTGGTTACTATCACCTCATTACTGATTAAGTCCTACTGCAGACTGAAAATTAATTCTAAGATCTTAACTTAAAAGTTACAGATAATATCTACTCTCTGACTATGCTAATCAGTGAAATGCTGCTGTAAATAGCTGGGGAAAAAGGGCTGATGTTTGATGCTTTTAAGCTTTTAGTATCAAAAATTCTCATCTGATGCCACTGGCCTTCAGCTTGTTAAGCTGCCAATTCAATTCATTTTATAACATAGTTATTTCTTCCGGTAAGCTTCACTCTACCTTTATGGATGTGCCTAATTTAGAGGAAAGATTTCAGTATAGATGTGGAATCCTGACATAATGCTAAGAACAGATGCTGCATAAGATGATCTTCAGCACCAAACTTGTTTGCATGCAGAGCACACTAAAAATTAAATAACAAATATATTAGGGTTTCATACAGTCAGTCACACAGACTGCTTTAAATACATATGCTCACCATGATGTTCTCAGCTTGTTTTACTATTTATGAAAAAAAAAAAAGTTTTCCTGAAAGGGATTTCTTCAGGCTAAATGTATGACTCAAACAGAAGTTGCTTAGATCTCAACCTTTGCCCTTTTGTCCAAAAATGAATTACTATAAACTTCAAAGAAAGCACTGTACTTTTATTCTGAGGACAAGGAAAGGAGAATTTAGCTTCACTTTGTAATAACCTTTGCAAAAACGTAGGAATGCATTTTTATAAACCAACCTCTAATAAAAACACACTTACAAAAAAGAAAAAAGAGCTAAAACAACTAAATACACACTGAAACCCCACAATTACAAAGAATCATCCCCCAAGTACAGGTTTAAAAACAACTCCTCTGAATTGTCCCCCATATCCTCCCTACATCTCTTGCCAACCACCTTTTCCATTGTCTCCTGCAGTGCTTACAGCACTGAAATTGTGAAATCACCATTATTTCCATGGCAACAGCCTGCAATATCAAATCCACAGGATTATAGCTTGACTGCAGAAGAGGGTAAAGAAGCAGCTGGAGTGTGAGAAAGAAAATGCTTACATTCAAACATCTCAGTGAAGAGAGTGAGAAATGAGCTGACAAAGAGTTTATCATACAAGTGAGACCTAAGTCAAATCCATGTGTGCACACACTGAAATTGTGGCTACAGGAGTCATGAAGTTCCAGGTCCAAAGAACATAAGCCATAACTGCACTGCAAGGCAAACCTAATATCTGTGACCATCATGAGTGCGCAGCCAGACAGAGAGCAAGAACTCATTTCATACCCTGAGATGGCTTCCAGACAAAAGCCCTTTTGTCAGACACTGTCTCCCACCAGTAAAAGCACACAGCAACTGGAGGACTAAATGGTATCTTGTGCACCAGTAAAGTCACTGCACATTGTGAGAGTGTCAACAGCCACAACTGTTCCCAGCAAGCAGGAGAAACAAATATTTTTTTACACCAAAGGGTTTTTCAATCTGCCTGGCTTTAGCATAGCCTACAATTGCAACAAGTGCCACAATCTAGCAGCAGCAAAGCCACTTCATTAAGATAATTTGTATAATGAACCATAAGAAATGGGTCTTAGGATTCCTGGAAATGACATAGGTTAGCTTTACATCACTAGCTGATCAAGATAAGGTACAGGAGGCACAGGGATACTGCAGAACCTGAGTATCACCACAACACAAAGAAGGCATAGTTAGCCATTACATATATTTAGTGTGACTGTTGCCTGATTTTTGCTCTGAATCTCTTCCAGGAAAATTACTGGAAGATTGTTTGACAAAGTAGTTATGATCAAATTTAGGTGTTGCCATTTTCTTGAGATCTGTTGATTCTAATCTCTCTGTAATCAAGTCTCCCCAGGAATATGTTACATGGGGGAAAGGAGACACTTCCATTACTCAAGAGCTTGGCTACCACAGAGAGAGATTAAAGAGTGTCTAAAGCTGTTTGTACACACTATGTACCAGCAGGAGATCCCTTTAGAGTAACATCTGTAAAAACAGATGCTGCTCCATAAGCCAATATACTTCAGAAAAAAGCACATCTGCACAGTAGTGCAAAGGCATTTTCTATCTGATAGCCTTATTTACACAGGCACCCTGCAGCACCTGAGCAAGATCCTCATCTCCAGGAACTAGGACATAATAAGCATGGGACACACAACTCAATGCTGTTTATGAAAGTGTGTGATATATCCCAGTGGAAGATGCAGATATATGCCAGAGATGAACAGGAATAAGCAACAGTAGGAAACTTGTAACAGCAGTCAGGCCACAAAGTTAGTGATTTCACCAAAGGCTCCCTGAGGGCACAATCAGGGAACCAGGACAGAGAATTCAATGGAGTTTTAACATGTCCTGTACCATAACTACAATTGAATAGGTAAATTCAGATTTTGGGGAATCAACTAAAGCAACTGCAGTCATAAAGAAATCCAAATCCAATCTCATTCGAACAGAAGACCCTAGCGGTAGGTCTAATGGTACAAGGCACCAAAGATTTACACAAGTCAAATTTTCAATACATAAATGGAAAGCAAAACTATAAATAAATCCCATAACTGATAGGAAGAATCATAAGGGTAATGTAACTTAGGAGTGATACAATTCTGTTAACACAAGTCACTTAGGGTATGTGAGACTACCACTATATAGTATGGGAATACTCTTAAATACACAGAAGTACTTCAGCAATACATATTTTATGAAAGGTGAGCAAATGTATATAGCTATAGAATGAAGTACACAGAAGTCCATGTCTGACTACAGGAACCAAACAACAGCACATGACTAAGAAAAACAAATGGATGGTCAATCAATATTCTTAGATTTCCACTAAGGCACCAGTGAGGTTCAGCCTTCAGAGTCTGAAAAATAATTGTCAGCTACAGGTAAAGAGATCTGCTATATCATACTTACCCATTTGGTTAAAAAGGGCAAAAGTTGGCTTGAAAGGTTCAATTAGAAACAATCCTTTCTAGATGATTACTAAACAGCTGTCCAGTAGGTACAGTTGATTTGGAACAACATCCTTCCAATTCACACAACTGAGGAACAAGCAGACACAGGAATCTTTCCTGTTCGTAGATACAACCTTCACAACAAAAAAATCCTTGCACAGTGATGTGATATATCATCCTCTGCCATCCTTCCCACCATACTTCTGCGGCATTAGCCTACAGCAAGGCAAAACGAAGTTGAAACAGAGGGAACAGTACTAAAGCAAGGAAAATAAGCTAACACATTGCTATGAGCTCTAGGTAAGACACCAATTGCCTAACACAATTAAGGACTCTTCAACAAAGTGACAACTTGACACAGCAGAAGCATGTGATGGCTATGGGCTATGAGAAGGATGTATCTCTCCTAAACACCCCCCACCCATTTTTTCCTCCTTCACTTCCTAGTTTTCCTCCACCCTGATGAAACTAATCCTACAATGAGATCATTTAGCCAGTTCTCTAGCTGCAGGTATGCTGACTGGTGAAGCAAGTCCTCAAAGCTCCATGGCAACAGGCTTTGCCTTCCTACGATGCCAGATACCTGGCAGGCACCCGATATTTAAAAATTTCAGAGGCAATATGTTATTACTAGAAGATAAAAATTCCATGCAAATGTGGGAGATATATTTCACACTGTCACAGTACTATCTGGAACCTACAAAGTAAAATAATAGAAAAAGCCTGGCTGGTATGACTTTCTCTAGTACCTAAAAAAGCTGGAAATTTCAGAGAATCTTGGTTAACAATCTCATTGCAGAAGACCTTTAGATATCTTCTTTAGATAGCAGCTATCCCCAAATCCCAGTGAAAGGCCTAAAAATAGTGATGTTAGAATTACTGAGTGAGTGGACGTGTGACAGTAAATTTATTACTTGTGCTCCCAGGAGAAAATTTTTCTTATGATACTGTGGTAACATACGCTGCCGAACTTGTTCTACAAAACCAAACATAAGTCGCCATATCCTCAGTGTCTCACTGACACCCATGGACAGTTTATATACTGGGCATTACATTCTATGCTATAGAATATCCCTTTGGCCAGTCTGGGTCAGCTGCCCTGGCCATGCCCCCCAGGCTCCTTGTGCAGCTC